CCACAGAAGACAAACTTCATGGGTCGAGGTTTTCCCAGACATTTGCTGGTATAATCTGGCATTAGCTATATTGAAGCTGAAATCATGTATCAGACCTCTCAAGATTCAAGATCTGAAAAAAGACAGAGATAAAAAACATACAAAGCACCACAATAAGAATTCGAAATTTGTACATACAAAACAAAAACAAACCCAAAATAAATGCAAATAAGTTTCTATGGCTGCAAGTCAAACTACAGTTTTTAGTCCAAAATTGCTTTTTTACCGATTCCAACCAAAAACCTAGATGATCTTAGGTACAGTAATTTGATTTTCTCCTCATCTTCAATGCATAAATGTACCGCAACTTAACACCAATCTACTCATTTGATGTGCAAGTATCAAAGATACTATAAAGTGTTACTGATTAACTGCATTTACTGCTCACTCTCTCCATGACCCCTTTTCAGCAATTCAATTAGGTATATGAAAGAAAAAGAAAAATCTCAGAACTCTGAAATATTTTACTCCTTTCAGATTTCATGAGTCAAGATCTGAAAACCACGTAACATACGGTATAAAAATCAGTACTTTTAAAAGACAAAACTTAATACATTAGTCAATTAAAAATGCAAAGGATATTTGATGAGTTAAAGAGCATGGAAAACCCAAATCTCAATTTTAAAGAGTAGCTCTTAATAGAGAATCATAGAATGGTTAGAGTTGGAAGGGACCTTAAAGATCATTGAGTTCCAACCCCCCTGCAGTGGGCAGGAACACCTCCCACTAGACCAGGTTCTAGAAACAAGCCTTTGGTTTTGGTTTTAATGTACATTGATTTTTAATTAATCTGCAGGGAAATCCACTCAAATAAGCAATAGTTAAAAACTCCTTTTGATGGCCCACTTGCTAATGCAACTGATCCGAGGCTGAAAGGTTGATCTTTCACTGAAAAATAACTGTACCCAACACAGCAGCCCGAGATCATTTCTCAAAATGCAATCTAATAAGCAAGGTCAAAAGGAGAAAGTCAGGAAGGCGCTGAAGAAGTTGTTGCTCCTGTTTGGCTATGCCTTCAAGGACAACATTTTCAGTTTCTTCTTAACGGTCAAAGAATCAATCCAGCAAAGCCAACAAGCTTACATGCTGATCAGCCAGCTTGACTACTAGTAGTTATGCAAATCCGTCATCTACTAAAAATTAATTTGCCCTGAAATGAAGAACAGTTAGACTTCAAAATTCCCCAAAATAACAGCAGTAGAGCTCTCATGACAAATGACATCATCTTAGCTTATATCTGATTTGAAAAAGCAGTAGTTCTAAAAAGGATGTTTTTCCTGGAGTCTCTGCCCTTACAACTTTTTCAACTACTAACCACTAAAATTTCTGAACTGACAAGACCACAGTAAACAACATCCTCTGACTGGTGAGGAAAGAAACCAAGTATTTGCTTCAATTTAAATAAAGATTATCAAGATTATTATCAATAAACAACAGATGCTTGCTAAGACACTAACAGATGTTATCATAAAGTTATGTAGAACATTCCATTAAATTACTACAGAACCCTGTTATTGTACAAACAATACTTTAAAATGATAGGAAAAGGTACCATAGAAAAGGTGTGAGAGACTGGATGCGAGACAGTAATTTTAAAGTAAAAATTATCACATATCAAAATATCTGTATAACCAGCACTTTTAAAGCATTACTACCTCTAATGAAAAGCTTTCCTCAGAAAATAAACTGATTTACATGATTCACACTTTACACCTTTCTTAACCAACAGGTTTGTACAGCTACTGTTCTCAGCCCTACCAAAAAAGAGTGGTTTTGAAGATAAATGTGGAGCAGAAGAGAAACGAAGAGAGTTTTTCAAGTTTTTTATTTTTGAAGAGAAATGGCAAGAGTAGGTAATTTCTCTTATTCCCCTGAGAAGGCCAATTAAATTATATGAATGAAAATTGCAAAACTCAGGTAATCTAGGAACTTCGACTATTTTTTAAAAATACCTGCTTTTGAATCTGTCAATATAGAAGTTCTATAATTTAACAGAAGAGTTTTAGATAGGTTCCTCAGCAGATGTCAAATGACCTGCACAACAGAATCAGCACTTTATACTTACATTTGTATCTGCTCACTATCACTCTACAAGTGTCTCAGAAATATTGAGTTACTGTATGAATTACTAACACAGTGCAATTTTAGCAATTGCTTTCTGCCATGCAGCACGGTCCGAGAATAAACTCTAATTTAAAAGCCATCAAAATCAGAAATTTAGCATTGTTTTTTACTTCATGTCCCCATGCTTCAGGTGTCCTCACTGCACAACCGAAGCAACGCTTCTCTCATGCGCTCTCCTGCATAAAAGTAGTGGGCAAGTTTTGTTACTACGAATTTTTCCTCAAAGCAGGACTGGCTCATTCACATAGCAAGTTTGGGATTTACAAATTAGTCACTATTCACGACTACTACTGTTCTTAGTTATCTAAGAAAACTATTTCTACAACTCAGAAAAGCAGTGGGTACAAGATTTACCGCCTCCTCAGAGTTAGAAAGCACTCATCACATAGAACTTGTGTGCTTACTAGCCATCAAAACACTAAACATCCCTCTCCTAATTCGAAACCTCCAGTTGCAATATCTTATTCTATTTTTTAACAAATTGGCTACTTCAAATTCAGCTTTTTCCTTCCATAGCAAGTCTCAGAACATTGGGTGAAGCAATTTGGTAAAAGCACTTCATACTATGAAGCTACCCTTCAAAAACCAAGACCTGAATGGGGCAGAAGTAACTGTTTCCCTACTCCTGTGAAAGTCTCTTAGTGCTCAAATGGGTTTGTCCACATAATCTCATCAAATGATCCAATTCCGTACATGCAAAATAATATTTAATATCAATGGTGAATTTCAAAGAACATGAATAGAGTTGAGTCATTTTCTGCTGGAGACATCTAAAAAGAACTGTCACAGGAAAAACAGTGATTCAGTAAATAACCTTCTTCGCTCTACAGCATTAGTGAACCATACTCTAATGAACTTACTGGCACAACACACTAGCAGAAGCGTTCGTTTCAGATGAAGCACAAACGTTCAAATTTCTCACACAATTTTCTAATAGTCAACCATAAAAAGAAAACATTCGGGCAATACAACACATTTTGGCCAAAAAGCACCATCCTCAGTGTGGAGCTTCCTACAGATAACAGAACTCCAATAAAACTACAAGAGACTAAAACATGCAAAGTAGTGCACGTATTATTGTCTTGCTACAACAAAGATGCAAAAACTTGCAATTGCCTCTTCCCCAAAACTCTCCTAAGAAAAGCACCAAGTTTAAAATCTGTACTTAAGGCAAACTACATAAAACGTTGTTTATTTGAGATTATTTTTACGTGATCGCGTCAAATCTGTTTGCTGAATATAAATAAATACCAAAGCCACCTGCTCCAGAAGTCCAGTCAATAGCTGCATTTCCTCTCACTTAACATACAACAGCTCTAAAGAGAATTATTTCCTTATTGAGGTACAGAATTGTTACATCAATCAATTTAATAAAGACAAATGGAAGCCTACTTTAAAAATAGTTTGTATTTCTTTATTTTTAAAATAAATTCTTTTGTTCCATAAAAAAGAACGAATTTGCAGCCGTTAAGAACTGCCGAGCATTCCGTTAGCACTTTCAGTCATGTTACAAGAACCCAGAGCTGTAAATAGCCCATATGCATGGAGAAACCTGTAGCTTTCAGCAAAGCACGCAGAAATTATCAAGCAGTAGCTGCAGTTTGAGAATTTGCAAGCTGAAGGTAGATGTGTTTTGTAAAGCTCCATATAAAGACATAAGCCACCATATGAAAACAGAATACTTTTGGTATACGGTATTATGATCTATAGCAACTTTCCACAAAGCAGAGAATAAAACGAAACCAGCAATAAGGTTACACCATCAAGCTACAGCAGCAGCTCATGAAAGATTTAAACCAAGTGCTGTTCCTAGCCCCCTATCTCAGTACAGCCATGGATATTTTTCCAGTTTGACTGGATTTTCCCCCTCCCTAATTGCTAGCTTTAACTGAAGACAACATACGTTAAGAAACAACCTTAAATGCAGCACAGAGCCTGTGCAGTAATTACGTGCAGAAAGACGTGACGTTTCACATCAAAAGCAGACACCAGAAATACTAAAATATAGATGCTCCTGGCAGCAGAGGAAACAAAACAACTGCCGGTCTGGTACCCCGCCAATCGATAGCACCGCACAAACGCATCACATCGCCTCCTCCGCTCCTACGTCCTCTGCGGACGATTATTTGGACGCTCTAACGCCCGCATTTCGCCACGCACAATCGGCAGGTCACCTCGCAAGCCCAGGAGCGGGGACAGGTGTAGCAGAAGGGTCGGCGGGGGAAGAGCCCGCAAGGCGCGATCGCCGGGGCGCAAAGGAGATTTAAACGCCGAGCGGCCGCTTCCTGCGGCGGCGAGAGCATCCCACCCCCCCACACACACCCAGCGGCGGGCACGGGCGGGGGGAACCGCCTCTCCTCAGAGGGGGGCTGACAGGAACCTGCCCCTCCAGCCCCGCACCGCCCCCGCGGCTCAGCCCCGCACCGCCGGTGACCGCCTCCCTC